AAATGTACTCATTATCTTGCCCATGTAACCCCTCTGTACAGTATTTTCACAATAAAAAAAAAAAAAGGCTAGCACTCTACCACTTGAGCCACAGAGCCACTTCTGGTTTCCTGGTGGTTAGGTGGAGATAAGAGTGTGACAGACTTTCCTGCCCAGGCTGATTTTGAACCAAGATACTCAGATCTCAGCTTCCTGAGTAGCTAGGATTACAGGTGTGAGTCACTGGTGCCAAGCCCCAACCCCCTGGGTCCCCTTTTCTTTTGGTCAGTCTTAGGGCTTGAATTCAGGGCCTGTGCACTGTCCCGGAGCTTATTTTGCTCAAGGCTAACACTCTACCACTTGATCCACAGCACCACTTCTGGCTTTTTCTGTGTATGTGGTACTGAGGAATCAGTTAGGGCTTCATGCATACTAGGCAAGCATTCTATCACTAAGCCACATTCCCAGCCTTTGTTTTGTTTTTTTGAGATAGAACTTTGCTACGTAGACCAGATTGTTCTCCCACTTAAAGTTCAACCACCTAAATATTGGGATTACAGGTGCAAGCCACTGTATTCAATCCAGTAAGATCCTTTATTTTTGGTGGTTGTGGGGCTTGAACTCTGGGCCTGGGAGCTATCCTTGAGCTCTTTAGCTCAAGGCAAGTGCTCTACCACTTGAATCAAAGCACCACTTTTTTTTTTCTGTATATGTCGTATTGAAGAATCGAACCCAGGGCTTCATGTATGCTAGACAAGCACTTTACTACTGAGAAACATTCCCAGCCTGGTTTTTGTGTGTGGTGTTTTTTTTGTTGTTGTTGTTTTGTTTTTGGGTCCGGTCATGGGACCTGACTCTGGGCCTGGGCGCTGTCCCTCAGCTCTTCAGCTCAAGGCTAGTGCTCTACCACTTGAGCCACAGCACCACTTCTGGCTTTTTTCTTTTTGCTTATGTGGTGCTGAGGAATCGAACCCAGGGCCTCATGCATGCAAGGCAAGCACTCTACCACTGAGCTACCTTCCCTGCCCTTTTGTTGTTGTTTTTTTTTTTTGAGACAAGGTCTCACTCTATAACCCAGGCTGGCTCAAACTCACAATGTAGTCCACTATGGCATCAAACTCAAGATATTCCTGCTTCATTCTCCAAAGTGCTAGGGCTCCAGATAAAACAGGCATGTACCATCACACCCAATGTCGCTACACTATTCTTCTATATAAAACTTAAAAATAGTTAATTAAGCAGGCCAGAAATGTAGCTTAGTGGTAGAATGCTTGCCTAGCATGCATGAAGCCCTGGGTTCAATTCCTCAGTCCTATATAAACAGAAAAAGCCAGAAGTGGTGCTGTGGCTCAAGTGGTAGAGTGTTAGCCTTGAGTATAGAGAGGCTCAAGGACGTGCCCAGGCCTTAATTTCAACCTCCAGGACCAGAAAAAAAAAATCATTTAATGCCAGCCTGGAAAATATAGAGAGGCCCTGACACAAAACAAATCAAAGTAATAACAACGTATTATTTCTTGCTTGTTGTCTCTCTCCTCCTATGTTCCAGGTTGGGTTAAGAAAAAAATCAATAATGTTGACCCAACATAACTTCTCAAAAGCATTTTTTTTTGGGGGTCCGTGGGGCCTGAACTCTTGGCCTGGGTGCTGTCCCTCAGCTCTTCAGCTCAAGGCTAGCACTCTACCACTTGAGCCACAGCGCCACTTCTGGCATTTTTTTTTCTGCTTATGTGGTGCTGAGGAATCGAACCCAGGGCCTTAAGCATGCAAGGCGAGTGCTCTACCACTGAGCCAACTTCCCAGCCCTCAAAAGCATACTTTTATAAAAATCAGGGACATGCAACTGGTCAGGGCCTAAATGATCATTGCTCCAGAGCCATTAACCAAGGGAAGAAAAAAATAACCATATATGATTTTAAAATTTTTTCTGCAACTGTGTATAAAGCCTCTACAATGTCAGTAATTTCATATAATTCGCTTAATTATTTTTGTAAAAAGAGTAGTAGGGTTAAGTAACAAATAAAACAGGAAGCCTGTACTCAGGAGGTTGAGATCTGAGGATCTCCGTTCGAAACCAGCCTGGGCAGCAAAGTCTATGAGACTCTTATCTCCAATTAACCACCCCAAAAGGAGAAGTGGAGCTCTGGCTCCAAGTGGTAGAACGTAGCCTGGAGCAGAAAAGCCCACGACCAAAAAAAACCCCCCAAAACAAAAAGGCTATGAAAACAGTCAGCTTGTTCGTTGGCTTCGGAAGAATCTACTAAGTGTGTTTTGTTTAATACCTATTGGTGCTCTGCTATGGATTTTTGTGTCATGAATGCAAATAAAAAGTCAGGCAAATTTGCCTTGAGTCATTTTCAGTCCTACTGATTCTTTTAACGAGAAACTTAGACCATTTGTCTATGACCTACATTATTGTTTGTGCTTTTTCTTTTGCAAGCTGGAAGATTAGTAGCGACAAAAAAGGAACTCCTAAATATCAGAATGGTTCAAAGTGGTTGCCATGCTCAGTGCGATGCTAACAGAAAGCAGTTCCTCCAGAAGGAACTTTATTCTCTCATTCGAGGGAAAGGGAAACTTTCCGCATGGCTTTTCCACGGTACTCAAGTTCAGGGTCATCAATCCGTTCATTTTTTTTTTTTTTCTGAATGGAAAAACACGAGGCTGACTTTTGCCCATTTTGGAAGCCTCACCACGAGCCTCTTATTTCCATGTCCCCTAAGTGCAATGTATTCCTTAGATGGAATGGCGAAGATTCGAAAGATAGGGCACCGCGGCGGTTTTGGTTAAAGAAGCCGGCGGCCTTTAGCAGGCCTGGGCCCTGCGAAGGTAGCTCGCCAACACCGAGTCAGGCCTGGCCCAGGGAGGAACTTCTTCCCTTCTTACCTCCCCTTTCCTCTCAGAGGGCACCCGGGGGATCACCACAAAAGTCCTTCAATTCCAACTACAGCCGCCGCTTCCATGTTTCCTGAAAACCCTGCACAGGGCCAGCCGGGCTGCCCACGCACTTCCGGCCTGGGACGGGGCCCCAAACACCCAGGCGCCCCAGCGCCCGCTCCGGAGACAGCCGAACACCTCCGAGTAGCGTGAAGCCGGAGGCGACCCTGCCGAGTACACTCGAGTCCCAGACTCGACAGGGACGAAGATGGCCGAGCCCGGAAGCACGGGGAGGGCGGGGGAGGCGCAGGGCAGACGCACCGACACCGATTGGTGCCGACGTGGAGGCGGGGACGCCCGAACGGCCTCGGAGGAACCCGGGAGGCTCTGAGTGGTAATCGAGGGGTAGACTATGGCAGTGGGCGGGGTCAGCGCTGCACATTCGCGGGGCGTTGACGGAAGTTCCCGAAGATGCCCGAAGCCGTCGGGACGGACCCGAGTACCTCACGCAAGATGGCGGAGCTGGAGGAGGTGACTCTGGACGGGAAGCCTCTTCAGGCGCTGCGGGTGACCGACCTGAAGGCCGCCCTGGAGCAGCGAGGCCTAGCCAAGAGCGGGCAGAAGAGTGCCCTGGTCAAGCGGCTCAAAGGGGTGAGGAGTCGGCGTCGCTGGGGTGTCGGAGGGGAGCGGACCCGGTAGAGACGAGTCTCCGCCGCGGCGCAGGCGCAGTGTCCGGGCTTGGCGCGAGCCCTCTCAGGCCGCCAGCGCGAGCCTGCGGTCCCGCGCGCTCGGTAGTTGGTGCGGCTCGCGCAGGAACTGAGATCGCACCCGTTCCCGCCCTAACGGCAGCAGCGCGAGCCTAAAATGGGAGGGTGCGCGCTACTCTCCCGGAGTGTCTTAAGCTCCTTCCTCCTTCCCCCACCCCCTCCTTGTTTGTGTCTGTGGTTTCGGCGCATGCGCTGCAGAAGGAGTTAAATCCCACTACAACCCCTGGCGTTGCTGGCCTGAGGGGGACGAGTTAGTTAGGCTAGGTTGGAGTTGGGGTACGGTTGGGCTGAGGAGTGGGACGCGGTTGGTATCTGTACCTGCGGGAATATAGTTGGGGTGGGGTAAAAATGTCTGTTAGATTAGGAGGTGAGATGAAGAGAAGTCTTGATTGAAGGACTTGGGGGAGAGGTGTGTAATTTGTAGGGAATTTGGTTTGGGGAAAAGATTGGTGGGAAGGATGAGGCAGGGTGCTGGTTTATGTTGGCGATTTTGAATCGGTTCGAGTTTGATGAGGTGGACTTGTCATAAGGAGTGTTTAGGTTTGGTGTGAATGGAGGGAAGATGAAAATGTCTTGGTTTTCATTAGGATTCGTTAGGATATGTGGCAGAGAGTATTGTTTAGGGCAAAACTGGGTCTAGAGTTGAGCTGGCAGACCGTTGCTTGTAGATAAACTGACAGTTTTGTGTGGGCGTGTACGGATTGGGCCAGTCCACAGTTTACAGGGTCGTTGGTCATTTTTCTTTGAAATTTTTATAACTTCGATAAATCAAGGTGTCACTCTGCTAAAAACGACATATAAGCTCACTCTAGTAGTGTAGTCCTGGGTAACTAAACAAGTAATTCAGTCAGACCCAAAGTTTCATGTATTTAGGGCTCGTTGGAGTTCTTGAAGTGATTATGCCTCCTGTACAGATTTAGAAAGGGCTCCAGTCAAAATGCAAAAGATAATAGGGGTTGAAGTACAGATTCTGTCACTGTCTTGGATTTTATGAAATAGTCAGGTCACTGGTTCTCTGTGTGGCTGTGTTTTACATTTGTACATTTAGGAGCAGTAACCATGGTTACCGTTAAGGTTATTGTGAAGATGAATGAGAACAGTATTAGTTAAGGGATTTGGGGACTCTGTAAAATGGTTTAAGTGTGTATTTAAAGTCATCCAATTTAATGAAGAGGTGGTAGGAGGGGTGGAGATTTTTTTTTTTCTTCCTGGTTTCTGACTTTTGCCCTTTTCTATACCAGGCTCTAATGCTAGAAAATTTACAGAAACATTCGACACCCCATGCTGCATTCCAGCCAAATTCCCAGGTAAGAAAGAAGGTTTCTTAGACTTAGTGGGCTGTTTAGAGATACAAATACCTGGAATGACTTGGTGTTAACAAAGTTGATGCTTAATTCCTTGTCCACATTTTTCTAAGTGTCTTTGGTTGGCAGTATTCTCATACTAGGATAGTTGAAGTCTTATCAAGCATAGTTTTACACAAAGGCTTGTTATTAGTGAAGTAAGTGTGTGTGTGTGTGTTGGTCCTGGACTTGAACTCAGGGCCTGGGGACTATCCCTGAGCTCAAGGCTAGTGCACTACTTCTTAAGCTACAGCTCCACTTACAGCTTTTTGGTGGTTAACTGTAGATAAAGAGTCTCATCAAGTTTCCTGCTCAAACTGGCTTCGAGCTTTGATCCTTAGATTTCAGCCTCCTGTAGCTAGTATTACAGGCCTGAGCTACCAGCACCCAGCCTGTTAGTGAATTTCTGACTCTTGAAGCTGAGTATAACAAAAGATGTGGCTCTGATTAAGTATAGTATAGGAATCTGATGTCATTTACTTGCTATTGATTTGGGAAAAGTAGTTGGTATCTTTCAACATAGATAAGAGTAGGCTATGAATAGGGCAGTGTAGAAAAATACGTTTGGCCAAGTGCAGTTGGCTCACACCTGTAATTCTAACTATTCAGGAAGTTGAAATTTGAAGGTAAAAGGTTCAAAGCCAGCTTGAGCAGGAAAGTTCATGAGACTTATCTACAGTTAACCATCAAAAAGCCCAAAGTAGAACTGAGGCTCAAATGATAGAGCACATGCCTTGAGTGAAATAGCCCTGAGTTCAAAGCCCCAGTGTACTGGGAGTAGGGGGAAAGAAAAACTCTCACTGGCATAGATTTTCTATGATATTCAATCATTTATAAATCACCCACTACTTCTGGAATTGATTGCTTACCCATATGCAGTAATTCTTAATAATTCTTAGGACAAGAAATTTAACATTTTCCAGTTTTTTGCAGGTTAATTGGAGATAGTCTCCTAGATTTGTCAGCATGTGTTGGCTTCAGACTGCAATTATCAGATCTCAGCTTCCTAAGTAGTTAGGGTTACTGGTGTGAGCCACCTGGCACAGCCCAAAATTCATAGTTTTATAACTGCTGTACTGAGCTTTCGTGGAGCTGCTTTAAAGAGTTTCCTAGGAAAGGTACTTTATTCTAAAGACAGCCAAATTCATACTCCATGCTTATGTTTGATTAGATATAATTTTATGTGCCTTCTATAATTGGTTTCTGCATAAGACTTATTTTGAATAATTTTTTCTATAGTTAATAATAAACATTCGTAGACTTCATATGGTAAGGTTCCTTTCAGCCTTCAAAAATCCCTTCATTATAATGTGCCAAACATAAAGGAAAAAATCTCAGTCTTTGTTAGCACAGTGGTATACAGCTGAAGTCCCAGGATACTGTGGAAAACAAGAAAGCTTTCCTAGTGCCTTGTTACCACCTCATTAAGCGACAGGTATCCTAATCTAGCCATTACCCAGAGGCTAAGTAACAAGCAACCTGGGCACCAGTGGCTCATGCCTGTAATCCTAGCTACTCAGGAGGATCTGAGGATCAAAGCCAGCCCAGGTAAGAGACTCTTTTTTTGGGGGGGGGGGTCTGGTCGTGGCCTGAACTCTGGGCCTGGGCGCTGTCCCTCAGCTCTTCAGCTCAAGGCTAGCACTCTACCACTTGACCACAGCGCCACTTCCAGCTTTTTTCTTTTTGCTTATGTGGTGCTGAGGAATCAAAACCAAGGCCTCATGCATGCAAGGCAAGCGCTCTACCACTGAGCCACCTTCCCAGCCCCAAGAGACTCTTATCTACAGTAAACTACTTAGAAAAAGCCAGAAGTGATGCTGTGGCTCAAATGGTAGAATGCTAGCCTTGAGCACAAAGGGGTTCAGGGACAAGCACGCAGGCCCTGAATTCAAGCCACAGGACAGCCCCTCCCCCAACTCATCTCCTCACCCCACCCCACCCCCCCAAAAAAAGCTTGAAATAGTCGTTACAATTGTATTCCTTTTGATTACTGATTTTGGTCTTTGAAGATCTACACTTTTTGGGGGGGCGGGGAAGATCCGGTCGTGGGGCCTGAACTCTGGGCCTGGGCACTGTT